ATATTGAATTTCAAACTGATACCCCATCAATTTCATTAACCACTTTTGATAATCAGGATTTACCTCCCGTTGCTCCATTAGAAATTTCAAACTTTTTTGGTCAATCCAAACAAAAAACTTTTGTCCCAGCAGGTAATGTCTCCACTTTTGGACGGCAAACACGATGGCCATCAGCTCCCGTTCATATGCTGATTTTATTCTCCCTTTCGGATTAAGAGCATGACTAAAAAATGCGATGGAGTGCTGTTCTTGCATAAGTACTGCCCCTAAACCAAAACTAGAAGCATCGGTTTCTATGATGAAAGGCTTATTGAAGTCAGGATGGGCAAGTACCGGCACAGTAGTCATGGCTGCTTTCAGTTTATTAAAGGCCCCTTCTGCTTCATCATCGCAAAAAAAAAAAAAAAAAAAAAACCCTTGCGCAATTGTTCTGTTAAAGCCCACGCCAACTTGCCATAATCCTTAACAAAGCGACGGTAGTGCCCAGTCAACCCTAAATATCCCCTCAACTCCCTTAATGAACTAGGGCTCAGCAGTGCCCAGTCAACCCTAAATATCCCCTCAACTCCCTTAATGAACTAGGGCTCAGCCAATCTACTGTGGCTTGAATTTTTGACCTGTCCGCCGCTACTCCATGATGGGAAATGATGTGCCCGAGATACTCTACTTCTAACTACCTGAAACTACATTTTTTTCGATTTGCATACAATTGATGTTGGGATAACACCTGCAATACACTCCTCAGATGCTCATTATGCTCCTCTTCATTATGGCTGAACACTAAGGTATCATCAAAAAATACCAGAACGAAACGCTTCAACTTCTCCTTGAACACTTCATTCATAAGTGCCTGAAATGTAGCGAGAGCGTTAGTGAGCCCAAATGGCATCACTAAAAATTCACAGTGGCCTTCTTGTGTCCTGAAGGCTGTCTTGGGGATATTATCAGGTCTGACTCTAATTTGGTGGTACCCTGCTTTTAGGTTCAATTTAGAAAAGATGGTTGTTCCATGAAGCTCATCCAATAATTCATCAATTACAGGAATAGGGAACTTATCTTGCACTGTTGCTCTGTTCACAGCTCTATAATCCACACAGAATTGCCATCCACCATCTTTTTTTTTCACTAATGACACTTGGCTAGAAAAAGGGCTAACACTGGGTCTGACTCCATGAAGCTCATCCAATAATTCATCAATTACAGGAATAGGGAACTTATCTTGCACTGTTGCTCTGTTCACAGCTCTATAATCCACACAGAATTGCCATCCACCATCTTTTTTTTTCACTAATGACACTTGGCTAGAAAAAGGGCTAACACTGGGTCTGATTATCCCTGCTGCCAACATCTCTATGACTAACTTTTTTCTATCTCATTTTTCTGGGCATTGGGGTAACGGTAAGGTCTCACACTAGTAGGTGTTGTTCCTGGTTGGAGGGTGATAGTGTGACCCCTTTCCCGTTGTGGTGGCAACCCTTTAGGTTTTGCAAAAACCTTCTCAAAATCATCCAAAACTTGTTTAATAAATGCCAGAATTTCCCATTGCAATGCACCTAACTCAACCTACCAAGTTCCAGTAGCACACTTCCCCCACTTGGTTTTAATGCCTTCATCTTAGCCTTCAGTGAGACTAAGTTTTTACCAAGGCTCGGGTCCCCTCGCAGTGTAATGGTGGTCTCCCCAACCCAAAACTTCATCGTAAGGGCCTTCCAATCAACTTTCATTTGACCCAAAGTTGATAGCCACTTCATTCCCAAGATCACATTCGATCTCCCAAGATCCAGGGGAAGGAAATCTTCTACCACCTCCACATTTTGAAGGGATAATTGTACCCCTCGGCATACTCCTTCACCTTGCACGACACTCCAGTACCCATAATCACCCCATAACCAAGTGTCTCTATTCTTCGTAAACCCAGTTTCTGCACTAATTCTGCCGATACAAAATTGTGGCTAGCACCACAATCGATCAACACTATTACTTCCTTTCCTTAAATCTCCCCCTTCAATTTCATAGTTTGAGGTGGTTTAAGCCCTACAATTGAATTCATCGACACCACCACCTCACCGATCATCGCCTTCTCTACCTTGGTTATCTCCTCAGCCGAATCCTTAGTCCCCCACTCTTCTTGTTGTTCCGCATCATAGATCAACATCACTTGCAGCTCCTTATTTATGCACTTATGCCCTATGGAATACTTTTCATCACAGCGAAAACACAACCCCTTCTCTTTCTTGGCCTTCCACTCTGCTTCACTGAGCTTCTTGAAGAGTAGGTTGGTGGGTGGCGTTGGCCGGAGCTGGAGATTAGAGAGCAGGGCTTGAGCTTGAGCTTGAGCTTGAGCTTGGGAATGAAGACTTAGGGCTGGTACCTTGGAGCATAATCTGTCGAGTGAACTGGGAACCCGGATTAGTGCTAGCATTTAATTTACTTCTTAATGGGTTTGGGCCACACAAATGGGCCTGCAGTGCTTGATTTTTTTCCTCAATTCGCTAGGCCAGCTCCATGATTTGGTTCAAACCTTTGGGCTGCATCACTCTAATTTCAGCCCTCATCTCCGGCCTTAACCCATTTAGGAAATGGCCTTCCAGTATAGCATATGAAATGTCTCTGATGGGTGCTGCTGAGGTCTCAAATGCGAGCCGATATGCCATCATTGACTCTTCCTGCCGAAGTGCCAGAAATCTCTCCTCCACGGTTCTCTCCGTAGATGAACGGAACTGGATTCTCATCAATGATTTGAGTTCCTCCCAACTACGAAACCCCTTCTGTTTCTGTTGCCACTAATACCATGCTAGCTCACCTTCTTCAAAACACAAGGCCGCTGTTTCTAACTTCTCCGTCTTTGACATTTGATTCACTCTGAAATAACGTTCCGCTTTGAAAATCCATTCATCCGGACCCTTTCTTGTAAACATTGGCATTTCCAGCTTCCTCTGATGTCCGGGTTCCAAATTTGACCTGTAACACCGCCCACATCCTTACCACTTGCCTCCACACGCGGTGAAATTTCAGAGTGCATAGTGTACTCCGACTCCTTCGTTCCCTCCTCCCCTTTGCCTTTTCTCTCTTTTTCTGCTTCTTCCCACCTTGATCTCATGAAGGAGAATTGTTCTGAGATAATCGCCATGTTTTTCTCTATGTTCTGGACTCTCTGTAACTCAACCTGCATCCTTTCCATCCCATGTTGCATCCCTTCCAATTGTTCCTGTAACTTCTGATGAGTTCCTTCCAAATTCCCCACCCGATCAGCCAAATTCACCATCAGAATTGAATGCTTTAATACCAATGATATGTACCTGGTATAATGACTGTTTACCCAACACACTCTTAGGATAAATGATAACTAAATTTCAATAATGAACTGGAATTACACTGGTGAAAGAGTGTTGTACAAATGACAGATCTGAAATACAAGGAACTGATTAAATGAAGAAAATAACAAGGATATAGATGTGAACATTCAAGAGGTCCACTACTCTCCTACTGATTACCAATTTCTGCCTACTCAACTACAGCTCCCTTCCCTTATTTATAGGTTGCTTCTCTTCTAGACTGTTCCTTCCCCAACCAACTCATGTAACCGTGCATGTGGTCTCTCTTCTTGTGCATTTCCCTTGCTACCCCTGCGCCTTCGATAAGTAATTTGTATTGCTGGTCTAACAAAACCCTGCTTGGCTATCATTTATATATTGTTTATTATCGGTCAAAGAACTTCTTAACTTAATATTTCGTCGGACCCGCACAAATACTATTCACTCATCCATCACTCATATCCATCCATTTATAATTTAAAACGTTTATAAACGACTTCCAAACATGCCTTGATTGTGTACTGTTATTTTCTCTTTGTTTTAAGGACTTGGTTATTTGGTTTTGCTACATGGCAACTTACCTTGGATTAAAATTTTGTTGATCTGAAGAATTTTTTTAAGGTTAATATATGTATACTAAGACAGCTTAGCTCTGATGAGCATGAGTCAGCGAAGAGGAGAATCCCGTGTTCATGTTTGCTTCTTTCAGAACGAATGTTGTATCCCTAAAAGATAGGATGTGACATGAGATAGGTCAACGTGCCTTTGTCTAATTTTGAGAGGCAATAAGCAGTATTGCCTTTTCCACAACAATGAAAACAGGAAAAGATAAGCCTTTCCCAATGAACTTGGGTTTGGTTTCATGAATTCAATTTTGTTTGATCCAGATTTACCTCTCAAAGGTTCTAGGAAATAAACCATTGTCAACACTGTCTTGTCCAATTCGTTTTTTATTTGATTTATTGCATTTTGTTGTTGAGAATGCCATGTAAACTCATCCAGTTTGGACAATGCCTGAAGTTAATAATAAAGGATTATTGAGCTTCAGCAATTTAGCATCACCTTTATCTCTCATCATCAATGACTATTATAACGACAGTGCACCTGGACAAGCTCAAATGGTGATAAAATCACTTAATAGGAAAGAATAGATGAGAAAACTGAAAAATCATCAAAAAGACTTACGATGCTCTTTGAGAGTTGTTGGGGAAAAGGTTGGGGGTTTGAGGTTTGAAATCCTTTTGGCTTCCTCAAGACTAAGTTGAAAGAAGTACTTTTTTGTTTGATTACCGAGTACAAAAGAGAGAAAGAAGCAAATGCGAAGGAGAAAATTTTTACATCATAAGCCCTTGATTCACATCACTTTTGACCCTGTTTAGAGGTGCAGTTCTTTTTTCCCTTCTACATGTGAGGTGGGTGATATTTTTTCAACAAGAGTGCTCTTTGGCCCATTGGGACTGACTTTCTTATAATTGGATTTCCGTCTCATGATTTTTGATTTTCTTTGGTTTGTTTCCCTGCCATGCCACAGTTGTCCTTTTCCTATTCATTCTGCATGAATTTAGCCTTTAAGGAAACTCTTTTTAATTCTTTTGTTAGAAGAGATGTTTTCCAACAGTTCCATTTTTGTGTAAATCTAGCTTATTTGGCTTTTTTGAGCTTATAATGGCTCTTTTTCCCTTGCAGCATGCAGCTAGATATCTTGCAAACCAGGAGTGGGTCAAAAGTGATTCTCTCAAGATTGTGGAAAATACTGCTGTAATGCTACTTATAAATTCATCTTTTTCTTTTCTTTCTTTCCTTCTCTTTCTTCTTCTCTTTCTCCTTTTTTATTATTATTATTATTATTTTTT